CCCCAAAACCCCAAAACCCCAAAACCCCGAGATTATTATAAAATATTGAATTATGGACAAGCAGAAGGAAAACTACACTAATTTGCTTAGCATTACAGAAGGCGGCATTGACAAGTTCCAGAGAAGACTCATTCAACGCAAAAGTGTCAAGAACCTCTTTATCAAGACATGTAATACAATTTTGGACTTCTTAAAGGACATTATCTGCCCACTTAGGCTAAATTTTTAAACTTCTCCCAGTCTGTGGTATCGTTATTGAACCAAAGAGTATTTCCTGAGGCATCTATTTCTCATTACAATGAGTTAGCTTATCTTACTATAGGTCGAGATGTTCTGAAGACCAAGAAAGTGCACTCGAATCGAAAATATTATGGAAGTAAATACATTAGGCTAACGTCTAGACATTTTCAATTCTTTTTCAGTGGGTAAATTAGGATAGTCATTGGTAGAACAACCTCAGAAGAAGCTTAATGAGACAAGAACTACTCTGATTATCCCTAAGGTACAAAAGTCTGAATAATTTTATAGACTAGCCAGAGCCCAGTGAGACCTAAAAAGTGAGTCATAAGTAGTCCAATTTGTATGAATGGGAAAATTAGTACTTGAGGGAATTATTCAAACTGGTCTTAACCTCATAGAGCTCAGAATATATTAATGCTTCTAAGTTATTTATACTCTATTTCTCTTTGCCATATATCTGACTGTATAGTAATTCAAACTCCTCAGAGGTCAGAAACTCAATCCAGAGCATCTTTGATCAACTATCTCAAGAAGAAGAGAATAAGTATTTTGAAAGAGTTATTTTAGAAGAGAACAAGAGTATAATTTTAAAGAAATTAAGTAAATTGAATTTAAAGTGGGCTTAGAGGTGTTTTGAAGGGTTTTAAGAGGTATTAAATTGATTTTAGACCTAGGAAGATGAATAGAAGATTTGTATTAAAGAGGAAATAAGAAGAAGGGGAAGGTTAAGCAGGAAGGTGAAGATTTTGGAATTAGGAGGTAAGTATTTGGATATTTTGGGATATTGTAAGAGTATGATGGAGCTTGGAGAATGCTCAAGTTTTCAGATTTCAAAGATTTTGGTTTTTTGAGTTGAGTTTTGCCTGATAATATTTGGATAGTTAAATGAGGACGTACATAAATTTTAAAGACATATTTTAAAAATTAATTAGCTTTCATAAATCAATTAAAGATGCATCTTATAAAAATTTTCTTATGTAGATTTTGTATGCTTTGTTCAAAGTAATTTCCTAACTTGAATCTATCAATTTTGATATTTCTTGAGTACAAAATTTGGCCCATAATATCAGAAGTAATGCCAAATAGAAACAAATAAAAGAGAAAGATATATAAAAGAGCATCGAACAGATTTCTTAATGATTTCAAAAATTAAGAAACCACGAAATTTCAGTAAGTTATTACTTGTGTAATTGCAATCCCAACCGATATGAATAATAAGGCCCTATCACTATTCCTCTATAGCCATCCAGCCGAAAGAACCTGAGCCCATAGAGCCTGAGAAGAAGATAAAAGAGGCTCCTCCGGTTTCCTTCTATTACTGGATAAAGCCTACTCATCAGCTAGGAAAAACTTCTCTGACTGACATTAGTGGGCAAGAAGACAAGGAGGGTTGGGAGTAAGTATGGTCTTTTCATTTATAGGCTATCCAAGGTACTACAGTCCTTACTGATTTATTTTAGACTCCTCTGAATGCTCTTACTTATGTCAATGGCAAAGATATGCCCAGTGAGGATCCCAAGGCTAACGATATCGCAGAACTAGTTTCAAACAAAGCTGCTAAGGTGCTTCGGCACCTTAAAATAAGGAACACAGATCGTCGAATTGAAGGTCTGAAATAATGAAATAAAACTATTGGATACTTTCAGAAAGAAAAGAGATCGTAGATATGACAACTTTAACCTGTCGACCCAAGGACTAAGCAGCAACTTGTAATTTCCTAGTCTTAAGGATTTTTAGTAATGTGGAATATGACCTTAGTAAGAAAATCTCTGAAGACGGTAAGAAGCGCTTTGATGTTCAATAGATGCCAAAATTCACAAGAAATTAGCCAAAGTCAACAAAAGTGAAAACATCAACCTTGAAACTGAGAAGGAAGCTGGATATTATGATATCGACTCAATAGCCAAGGTGCTGACTACCAAAACAAAGCAGTGTAGTAGGATCCTGAGGTACTGGACAGTGATATCATACTTTAGGTCTAAAAGATGCTCCCTTATTGATAGGCTAAACAATGAAAATACAATTGTGCCTGTACCTCCTTCATGTAAAATCATTGATAACATTCAGTTGACAAAGAAGAGAGCCAAGAAATCAGGTTTGAAGTTGATAAGTTAAGAGTTAAATACAAACTCAAGAGGAAAAGTATGTCTCTAGTAACATCTATAGAGCAAGAAACAGATGATATTGGTCAACCAGTTATGCATGTACCAGGTAATATAACTCATGAATCAAAGATTCTATGCTTCTTGTAGTAACTTTTGCTTCCCTCTAAAATAATGATAATAATGGAATTATAGGAAGCTCAAAATCCAAAAGAGACACGTAAGGTTCTTCACAAATATAGATTTTACTTCCCAAGTAATGAGAGAAAGCGTATTGGTCCCTCTCTAATGTATATAGAGAAGAGCAGGTACTCCAAAAGAGTCAACAAGAAGCTGGTAGTCTACACTTATTGATCTTTAGTTTCAAATCTATGACAGATGATCCCAGTAAAATATAAAAAGTTCAATTTTAAGAAAAATCTCGGGGTTTTGGGGTTTTGGGGTTTTGGGGTTTTGGGG